TTTAGAGGAACGCACCTTGTACGGAGTTCATAATATGCATGATAATTTCCAGTCGGACCATGGACTTGCCACATTACCAGACGTTTCACCGACATCGTAATCGGCATCGTCAATGAGTCTTGCCATTCTTAGCGCTACGGTACAAATCGTCAAAGAGACAAATGAAGTCGATCCTTTGACCAAATGTGTGCTAAATAGTTTTTCTATCTCTCTTTCTGTCCTGGGCTATTCACATATCCTATGTCCTCGTATCACTCTTAAATATCACAATTCCTTACTTGTTTATCTAGACCTATTTAAAATCTATTCACACTTATTGCTGGTTGCCTTACTCCTCCTACTGTACCGAGAGTGCTGATCCAATAATGCTGATGTATACGTTCTATCTTGAGATAGAGTGTAGAACATAACGCCTTAAATAGCACGGAAACGGTGGCAGCGATAAAGTAAAATCAATGAAACAGACAGACAAGGGAAGGATTCTACGGAGAAATAGCGGACTCTGAAAGGACCCGAAGAGAGAGGATTACGGATTAAACCGCATAATTGGATCCACACTCCTAGCACAGTGGGAGGAGTAAGGAAACCAGCGATGAGTGTGAATAGATTTTAAATAGGTCTAGATAAACAAGTAAGGAATTGTGATATTGAAGGGTGATACGATTACATAGGATAGATGAATAGCACAGGACAGGAGGAGAGATACCACAACATTTTAGCACACACTTGGTCAAAGGATCGACTTCACTTGTCTCCTTGACGAGTTGTAGCGTAGTGCTAAGAATAGTAAGACTTATCGACGATGCCGATTACGATGTAGGTGAAACGTCTGGGAATGTGCCAAGTCCATGGTCCGACTCTGGACATTATCATGCATACTATGGACTCCGGACAAGGTGCGTTCCTCTAAGTCTTCCTACCAAATGACTAAGTTGCGGGAACAAGGTCATATAACTTCTAAACTAAAAAAATTCCTTAATTATAATAGCATAAACTGATAAGGACGGATGGATGAGTTTACCTAAGGTGAAATTAATATACCTCTCAATGTCATTGCATTTCACATTGCCTTGCTGGCCAAAAGACTTTCTGATCCCTTTTTGACGATGGCTTTGAAACAACCTAGGCCAAACCAGTGCCACCATCAGGAATCTAAACCGCTCAGTACGTATAAAGTAGCAAAAAAATACCCCTCAGCCACAACTATTAGTCCTGCATATTCTTACGTCACCTAAGATGAATAAAGTTGAAGCAGTATAAATGATTATCACCAAAACAATTTATTGGGTAGATGGCAGACCTCATTACTTGTACATTTGAATAAAAATTTATAATACCCACACAAATCTTAATACATAAGTGATTGTGCAGATGCCTAGATGATCATGAAAACTATATCTGGCCTATGATCCACGGGAACTCGAAGCTGTGCTACACAATGGTAACGTGTTGCCAAATTACGCAGACGACTCTGTTTAAGATTCTGTATGGGATGTTGATGAGACTTAGGTGATGCCTAAATTCAGTCCATCAAGTCCTTGAAGGTGAGGTTATGCAACATTTCATGGTATTGAGAGGTCTCTTCATTTTATTCTGATAAAATTCAGCATCCAGTTAAACATTATATTTATATTACATAAGGTGAATTAATTTATGATTAATATTGCATAATATTGTAAGAAATTCGATTTCTCGCCTGGGTTTCAAAATGGCCTATAAGTAAATATATAAGGCTTGAAAGAGAAAAAGCGATAGGCAAAATGAAAAAAAGATCTACCTTAAATCCCATTAATGTCAAGGATATAACAATAATGGTAATTCAAACATGAACACGTCTTATTAGAGTATAAATGTGGGGGTTACTACTCAACTGCAAATATCAGTGCTGCATCTTCTTGTGTAACCTAAGTTATGCCTCTAAGTGCATAACTTAGATGCAGATGTAATCAGATTAATTTTTTTAAATAGACCATGATTTCAGGCATATTCAAATAAAATACTTATTTTCTCTGCAAAGTAGACATAGTAAATTTAATAAATATGCTAAGATTATATATTTTATTTAAAATAAAATTCACTGTTTCTATCAATAAAAGCATGATATGATGATAGAGAAACAAATATTGTAATATTATAAATGAGGAAATCCAAATTAAGACTTCTGTGTGAAGTTAAACAAGGCAAGTGAGAAACGCCGAACATAGAATTGGCTTATGTGCACTGTATCTGACAGTAAAAAGATCACCAGGTAATTATGACTTTAGTAATGAAAAAAATTGGGAAAATAATAACTGGCGCGTCCTTTGTAAACGTATGAAATCGTAAGATAATCTGATAAAAAAATATGATTCGATGCGAAAAATGAAATAAAATATCGTCGAGATGATTACATTACTATTACACATTGCATTTGAATACTAATGAATGAAATACGTACCGAAAGATTAATATTAGTACCGGATGGGGCGACGGTATGTAGTGCATAAAGATTTCCAGGATCTATAGTTCCATGACAGCCCTAAAGAAGGATAAAGACAAATAATTAAACAAATATTCAAAGAAAATTGGTTTCGAA